CCCCAGGAGCTACCTTGGTATGAAGAGGTGAGTGCTGACCTCAGCCAAGCAGTGTTGATGACTGACGGGACATGAGAAAGTAAAGAGGAAAAAATTGTTTTGTATAAGTAATTAATTCATCAGTTCATGCTCTCTTTTCTCACCAATTAAGCACAACATAGCTCCCTTTTCTTCCTTGCTTGCTCTTGTTAGCTTCCTGTATCATTTCCAGCCCCCCCCTCCCCTTTTTGGATAGCTTGCCCATTTTAAGCTAATTTTATCTGAAGAAAATTGAGTTTGGGGGAGGACTGGCTGCAGATCATCCCTGAGCCTGACTTGGCATGTGGCTAGCCTATGATCCTCACACCAGGCTGGCATGAGGGTTGTTCTCAGGCCACTGTTCTCATGCTCAAGTGGAGTCCACATTTAAGGCAACGGATCTGCTCAGACTAGGTCAGATGACCTTGAATACCTATATATCCAAGAACTATGTGCCTCTGTGCCAGTTGCCTCACCCTTCCTTGTCTTTTCTTTTGAGCCTGTTGGTGTTGTGGACCTTGCCAATTAGGGCTTGGGATATGTAAATTATTTCAGTGTTTTCTGATCCTCACTGGTCATTGGTAAAGGTGTATACCTAGACTCTTTTCCCAGCTTCCTTTGGCCAGTTTGCATGTGCAAGAGACCTTGAGGAGCAGACCTGCACCTGGAGCCCCCTTATTCCAGCTCTACCTTCATCACCATGGTCACTTTTAGTGCAATCCCATATTTCCCTGAGCCTCAGACTCCTCATCCATAAATGAATGGATAGATGGGGTAGATGCCGATATGGCTCCTCTGCTTCTAGATAGTGTAAGGAGATGGTTATATAGACTTATTGATTCATGAGGGACAATTACTTTAAATTATTTTGGGGAAACTTTATCCAGTTTGACTTGAGCAGAGCCATAACTATAGCCTTCAGACTTTATCAAGTCTCATATTTGTCACAGTGGCATTTAAAGTCTGTTCTAGTATCATTGCCACTGTTTCCTTTCAACAGTCTGTATGTGTTTGCGCAGAATGTATTTGTAGGTTTAGTAATTGCTCCCTGGAATATTGACCTAAGTACCCCCACAACACCTTGAACTACCCAGGTCTAAGATGCCTTTGAGGTTGTATTACAAAAGCTACATGTTGTTTTATGCTGCTAGTTCATTGAAACTCAAAGCACCCTGACTTTCTGTGACACCCCAACACTGCCTTCTCAGCTTACAGGCAGCCCATCTCAGTGATTTGTTCTCAGCCTTGTATTTCTGTGCACTTTTCCTGTACTTGTTTGCTCTGTTCTTTCCATACACACAGGGCCTTTCTCCCTCAGAGACATGGACATATTCGAAATGGAAGGCGCCTTTACCTCCTCACTTCATGTCTAAAGAAATGGGTGCCTGACAGACTGAGGGATTGATCAAGTTTATAAGTGGGCCCAGAGCTGGGGCAGAGACCTGCTTGGTGCTCCACACCCACAGCGATGAGGGCAGCTGACTCTGAAGGCCTCCTACTGTGAAGTATGGTGACTGAGTGGTCCTTGCCATGGTCTGAGCCATCTGTCTATGAGGAAAAGGAGCTCATGTGAAAGAGTGAGACTTCTTTCTGCCACTTTGAGACCTACCTGCTCAAGCTCAGGTCAGCAACAAAGCCCCAGGTTTCTTTTTCTCATTCTTTCTCTCATCTGTCTCACTGAAAGTACCTTGCCACTTGGAGCTTAAATGAATCACCCAGGTATTGAGGTTTTTCAGTACAGCTCTTGTATTAAATATTATTTCTTAAATTTTACAACAGTGCCTCAGTTTGTCAAGGTTAGAATGGTCTCTTCATCTGCCAGTGCTCCTGTTTCCCAGCATTTCTCTGGTTGGTAAAGTGACAGGCTGTTAGATCCAGGCCTGGGGCCTCTGCTCCCAGAGTCTGTTTGGTCTGGAACCCGCAGGCGCTCTGTCTTGCCATTACCTAGGTAACCGCCAGTAAGCCAGAGAAGCTGTCTGTCCAGCGTGAGAGGAAATACAAAAACGAAACCTCAGTGCTTATTTATACGCGATGAATGTTTTGAATGTTACTTGATTTGAAAAAAACATTTCGCTTCTCTGTTGGGTTTTGGCCTCTGTGCTTAGGGTGACCCTAATATTTCTGGGATTCTTATTTTTGCAGTGTGCTTTTATGAAAGTTGTGATCTGTTAAATGCAGTTTTATTCCCTAAGGACTACGATTCATACAAGTTTTTATGAGCAAACGGTAAAGCAAACATAGTCCACATCTTATTTGGTTTGGTTTTGTGGGTGTTTGTGTTTTTAAAAAATGTTCCTTTCTGTGGGGGTGTTTTTCCATTCGGTGTGCTCTATTTCCTTAGTAACTGTTGCTCTGTTATGGGAAAAACTTACTGACATTTTTTAAGTGCAATATTGAATTTAATTTCTTGCCTGGTTACTCCTACCCAAGTTCCCAGTGTAAGTAGAACATCTGTGCATGTGTGGATGACAGAATGCTGGCGAGCTCCCTGTGCAGGGGCTCAAGCAGGTGTGAGTTCCTACTCTGTCTGTGTCCTCTCTTTTTTTCTCCATTGATTTTCCTCATTTTCCTGTTATCAGGCTTAAGACACTTCATTTCAGGGTACTTCTTGGAATTTAGGGAAGAACAGTGTTTGGAGGGATGAGAGACCCAGACATTAGTCTAGTCTCTACTGCAATTAGCTTTTTTTTTTTTTTTGTACTCAGTTACTTAATCTGTGGGATTTTCTTTCTGTGATCTGAGGGGTTTTGGAATTTAGAGATCTGCCTTGACTGGGTAGAACATTCTGTGAAGTATGAGTACAATAGGAATCATCTGTTGTAATCACTATCTCATCTTGACTAGGATCAGGAAAGCCCTTACGAGTTTTGAGAACCAGGGCCCTGGCTGTGGGCAGCCTTTTGGCCCAGGAAATGCCATTGCCAGTGCATGGCTGGAGCTGGGTTTGTTTTGCCGATGCTTGCTCTGCTGTGTGTACATTCTGAACTCCAGCTCCTGCACATCCATTCATTCAGTGAATGTGTATTTATTGAACAGCTATGGTGTACCAGGTGCACTGTCTTTGGTGCTAAAGGGAACTGGAAAGACTGTCACTGACTTTGACCTTGTGGTGCTTATAGTCTAGCAGGAGAGGGACACTAAGCCATAAGAACCCCCACATGTGCTCATGACAATGGTAAATATTGGAGGAGCCAGGCTGCAGATTCACCCAGGGGTTGATCACAGCTGAAATGGTGAAGAGGGTTGTGAGCATAGATCACGGGCAGGGATGTTATGACAGCAGAAATAGGAAGGATAAGCAGGTGGCACCATTTGTTGCCCTTTTGCTGCTTCGTGCTTAGTTTGTGAGTTATAGAAACAGACGTGCTGTTTCTTTGCTTCCCTGGGATGCTTGTCACCCACCTCTGAACTTTAGTTTGTCTGGTCTTCTGGCACTTACTTAGCACTTATTTTGCTGGTTTCCCGCCCGCTTCCTAATGGGCATGTTCCCTCCCTGGAGAATAACAGCTCCAGGTTCTGGGTATCATTACCTCTTTGTCATGTATTTTTAGAAAAGGTGGATTATCTGTGTGCTCCTGGTTAGGTTATAGCAGTGACAGTTTATTTTAAAGTGAAAATTGAGGCAATTCAGTGTATGTGGGGATATGCAAGTGATGCTTTGTGAGATGACACAATTGTGTCACGGTGGCCTTCACTGGGAACCCGCACACAAACACAGCTTCCTAAAACTCCCAGTCAGCAGCATGCCTGAAACCTCACAACATGCTGATTTGCACCTGTTCCATACCTCTTTTAGAAGAAATAGCATTGAGAACTGGTGAGATAAACACAATAACAGAAAAAATTTTAATTTGTTGTTTTGTTCTGTTTCTGCCCACATCTGCCCTAGTCTTTCCCATAACCATATGAATGTGATGTCTAGGATAATATATTTTGTAAAAAATGAGGCAATATCATTAGGAAATGAATCAAAATACTGTTAATCAAAACCCACAACAAAACAACACAAAGCTCACCACAATACAGTTTTTCTTCAAATTCAGAGAAATAGGACAATTAAAGTCTAGCATTTCTGCTCACCGAGAGAGATGACTTTTATTTAAAATACATTTTTATTATTCACTACACTTAGAACTCTTGGTGGGCTATAATTTATTAATGTCATTATTACAGATGACAACATGAGTGAACTTGTTAACATAATTCAAGTGATTCATTAATTTATAAGGTCTTCCTTATAGGTAGACTATATTAATGACTTTTTAAATTATATTTGTATTTATAACAAGAGGGTCTTAAGAGGGCTCCTTTTTGTTAATATGCTCTATTTTCTTCAATTCTTTTTCTTTTCTCTAGTTTGATAGTGAAAAAGAGAAACAGCTTTGTAAAATCTAAAAATTGGCTATAAAGTGAATAAGATGAATGATATTAATGGAAAAGAGATTCATATTCAAAATTCAGTTTTTTAAAGTCTGGTTCTTTGGGCTTCTAACATTGTTACTACTTCCTGTATAATATGGCAACATTGAAATATCTGAAAAGTAATTTGTACTTTTATTATTATGTGATACATATGGAACAGTTTATAGATTAATTTTCCTTTTCCTTCCCATTTAATAAATTAACATGGATTTTTTATTTCTACCTTCAGATTCACTGCTCAACCTAAGACCTCAGGAACCAGCTTGGGAAATGGGTTTCTCTCTTAGATTATCTGTGAAATCGGTGGACTTGGGAAAGGACCTTTGGATGCTATTCTTAGAGGGGTGTGAAATGTGAACACGGTCTGGTTCTGGGGTGTGGGTGAAGCCCCACACTACCCCACAAGACACTCAAAAGAAGGTGCTGTGTTCCCCCCACCAGAGCTCCAGCACTCCAGTGTGTCTGGGTATGGAGCTGGGTATCTTTCCCTATTTCTTTTCTGACCTTTATGGGTCCAGTAAGTTTCTTCAGGACAGTGATCTTTTCCTTTTTACTTTCAGCAAGGGGAGAGGCAGAAGCAGAGAGAACAGCAGACCCGATCACGCTGAGCTCCCTCGTGGTGGCCGGGACCCGTGGAAGATGCTGACTGCCAGGTGGCCGAGGAGGCTCTCACTCTAAGGAGAGAAAGCAGGTCTTGGCTGGACAGCTTCCTCCGTTCCAGGCTTACCATGGCCTCTGCTCCCTGGCTGGACGGCTGATGTGACCCTGTGTCCCCAGTGTGCAAGCTACTGGACAGGGCACTAGCCCGGTACCCCTGCTCTCAGGGTCTGGGAAGCAGGGCAGGTGGGCATCAAATGCTACCGACAGCTGGACGAGGCAGAGTGATGGACTCAGGCAAGCTAATAAGATGGAAGTGACCTGAGGCCTCGCCCAGGTGGTTTCCTCTGGACAGGACAGCTTAAGAGTCGGAGCACAGCCTGTCTGGGGAAGCAGTATGCAGGAAGCTGGTTCTCAGGCCACAAATGCTTTCACAGGTGAGGACCCTCCACATTTCAATGGAAACTTTATTTCTGTTCTTATGTAATAGGCAATAAAATACTAAATAACTGCATGAAATGAATGTACATTTGCTTTTCATGAACTAAAGATCATGCAGAGGCAAAGGACTCTAGCTGCCATGGTGACTGATTTGGACAAAATAATAGCCTGCTTCCTATCTCTAAACGGGAATTGTAAAAAAAAAAAAAAAATGACATGTTATAACTTCCTTTTTGTTGCTGGATAGTTCCCACACAATATTCTGTAAGTCCCTGTTCTCTAATGGAAACTCATCACTTGCAAAGTAACGTACTGGTGTCATGCATTTCTTTATTGAACTGGAGACTCTCTGAGGGCCTCATTATTGCTGATGAGTAACCTTTCCCTCCCCATCTTAAGTTTCTTCCCCTCATATTATTTGTGTGCAAATGTGGTGTATGTGTTTGGTGTTACTCTGTTGAACTAACCTTTAGTTAATATCTTTCATGTATAATGAGGTCACAGAGAAGCTGGATATTCCTGTTTATGTTGATTTGCACACACACCCTTCTCCCACCTCCCCCAGCCTGCTGCCAGTTTGCTTACTTTGAAGGGAACAATTGCCAGTTTGCTCATTTTGAAGGGAACCACTCAGAACCATGATCTGAGACACAGGAACTTTTGAATTTGGGTCCTAGCTATTTGTACGATCCTCTTAACATCCCAGGAAGTCACTTAGTCCTTTTGTACCAATGGCTCCTGGTTTATAGAATGGTTACTGTAAAGTTGAAGAAGCCCATGGAATCCAGCAAAAAGATAATTTTTTAAAGATATATTTATTTATGCATACAGAACTGGGGTATAGGGCAGAGGTGCAGGGGCAGTGAGAGAATTCACCAGAGAAGAGTGGGGAGTAGAACAGGCAGATCGACGAAGTACACTGCTGAGGAGAGCAGCGGGTGGGGCAGGAGAGGTCTGCCATGCCATGTGAGTCACCTCCAGGGTGGGGATCAAACTCATGCTGAAGTGGCTTTAGTTTTTAGTGCTGTGCTTTAACCCCCTGTGCCACTAGGGAGAGTCCAGAAGACTTTTTTTTTTTTTTACACAAAATAATATTTTTTGTTTTAAAGAAAAAACGGGTAGGATAATGTGAAGTTAAAAACCTCATGGAACCCAGGAAAAATGTTTTTACATAAATTATTTTAAAGGAAGAGTTGGTAGGATAATAAGAAATGATTGGGTATTGGGAACCCTAAAAATTTGTTGCAGATTCTGTAGCTAGTAGGTTAGTTTGTCAGGGTGACTAGAGAGTGGTTGAAGCCCCCACTTAGTCCCCATGCTCCCTAGCTGTTATTAGCCACCCAGAGGTGATGGCCCTTACAGTTTCCACTCCTCTGTTTAGCCTCAAGGCTCAGGCAGATGGGATGCTGCCTCCCATGGACTGAGCTCTGCTTCTCCTCCATCCTCGAGCTCCTTCTGAATCTTTGCTCATACAAATGAAGATATTACATGCAGCTTTCACAGAGCTGCTCTAAGGGGAAGTAAGCCAGCATCTGTGAGACACTGCCCGCAGAGCAGCCCAGCACTTTCCAGCGCTGGCTGTGTTCCTGATGTGGGACCTCAGTATGTTGCCTGGTTTAAGCCTGTTGCTACATGTTCCTGAGCCTTTGGGTGAACTTGTCAGACCATCTGTTTTACCTGGGAGCCTCAATTTTAAGGATTTGTGCTAGGACAGGCCTTCCTCAGGTCCTCATGGCCCATTGGAAACCAGCTAAATGGCTATTTAAATGTAGATGCGGAAGACCACACAGAAAGTGGAGTGCTCTAGAGCCACCTTCACATTTCTAGTCTGACTGCCTGGAAACCAGGCCCTCCCTGAGGATGTCCTCTCTGAATAGGTCCTCTCATCCTTTCAATCACATGAGTTGCTTCTTTGTGGAATTGTTAGTTTGTGACTGATGGAGGCACCTGAGGGCTCTAGGTTTGCGTGGGTTAAAGAGATCTCACCGTCTTTGCCCACAAAGATAAAAGCAACTCATTATAAGAGCTTTAATAGATTAGGTGCACAGAAAGAGATGAGAAGATAATCTTTTCATAATAAAACACCCAAAGTTATCTTCCCTTTGTGGATAAATGTCCAGTCAAACATGGCTGGGTTGAAGTGGGACTATTGAGGGCTGAAAATTTACAAGTCTAGGGTACCTTGAGCTAGAACCATAGGAAGGGGGAGAAAGGGACCAGGCAAGTGTAGGTGGAAAGAACAAAATAAAAATACAAGTCAGGAGAAGGGCTGCAATTGTCAGCCTCTCCACCAGTCTTTCAATCATGTGTCTCTTTTTAAGTGCCTCTCTTCTGTGTGTGTCCTCCAAGCCCCCCAAGTCCCTAGTGCAATTCCAAAGCCAAGTAGCAAGCAGGCCCTTCTTTTCCTTGTGTTTTTATGTCTCTCAGGTCTCTCTTGAGCCCTCCTGCTAGCCTGTTAGGTGGCTTATGCAGCCTGTTCATTCTCTGCCCTGCATTAGGGAATCTAGTACCTCCCCCTTTTAAGGAGAAGTTTCTCTTACAGAATGTCTTGTTCCCCTTTGGGTAAAGGGGGCATGCAGGCTGTGATATAAAGCAACTCTGTGAAGTGGCCATGTGTGCAGCCCTTCAAATGTGTCTGCACTCCTTGGGGCTCAGCCAGGGAAGACAGGCATGTAAGAGGTACTTGAAATGAAGCTCTTTAAAGCCAATTTGAAAGAAAGAGGTAATGAGAATAGAGGGGAGGATGGCCCAAGAAGAACCTAAGAAAGAGTGGCACAGGGCTCTGTGGAGTGGAGATGAGCATAGTCCATGCTCCTTAGCTGTGTCATTAGCCACTCATGGATGAGGAATGCTTGTAGTTGTCATTGGCCCCTGCTTCACTCCCGTGGTTCCTACCTTTGTGACAGTCACCTCTTGGGCACTCAGCCTTATAGAGGGACCTGACCTTGGAATGGAGATGACTGGGGTGGCCCATCTAGAAGCAGGATTCTAAGCACAGTCTTGTTATAAGTCTCAGCCTGGTGTCGGGCAGCTGTGGCTCATGCTCAGGCAACATGTGCTTCCCTCACCCTTGGGCCTCTGCAGCTCTTCAGCCCAAGGGGAAGGAGCCCACCCCTGTCAGTATCTCAAGACAGCCTGCATCTTGGGTCCAGGGATGGATACTAGGCTCGGAGTAATGGAAACCCTGTGGTCTGCCTAGAGAATTCACCATAGTTAGGGCCTGGCTCGTTAATGAAAGCCCAAGTAAACGTCAGCTGTTTGATGACTGTCCTCTCCCTGGCGGTGGGCCAGGCACAGCCCCAGGTTGCCAGCACACATGTGCTCTCAGCCACCCTTTGTGGCATCTCCCCAGTGTACACTTTCTTTTTTTAATTAATGAAACCTGTTTTACAAATTTGGCCTCTTCTAAGTTCGTTTTGGAGGTTGTGTTAGCCTGACTGAATAAATCATACCACAGTAGCAAAATAATACCTGTGGCAAGTGTTTTAGAAAACTATTTTGCCTCTATCAGTCTCCGCTGCAGCTTGAGTGCAGTGTTGGCGTGCTGCTGTGGCTGGTGAAGGGGCACCAACTGAGATGTCAAGAATGAGGTCAAGCCCATGACTTTTCCAAATCTAAGGTCTGTGTGTGAGCTTCACTACACATGGGGCTCACCTAGGGAACCCTGTTGCTGCCTGGGTCTCACCCTTAAGAGATTGGGACTTAATTGGCCTCTGTACTGCGTAGTCTTGCCAAGTGAGGTTTTGTTTCCTAACAAGATCCCCAGGTGCTTGATGCATGGAAGTTCTGGGGAGTAGGAGAGCCCTCGCGGTGTGGAGAGGTGGTTTGGTAGAGTCATTTTTTTTTTAAGATTTTTATTTATTCATACAGAACTGGGGTACAGGCCAGAGGTAGAGAGGCAATGATAAGATTCACCAGAGACAGAGCAGGGAGTAGAACAGGCTGACTGATGAAGTACACTGCTGAGGGGAGCAGCGGGCGGGTCAGGAGAGGTCTGCTGCGCCATGTGGATCACCTCCGGGGCAGGCGGGGATCGAACTCATGCAGAAGTGACTTTAGCTTCTTAGTGCTGCACTTTAACCTGCTGTGCCACCAGGAAAGGCCACGATTAAGTTATTTTTTGTGTGTTCAAAATAAAAGAAGGGGAAAATATGTAAGACTTGGTGATTATTTTTTTTCCAATGTGAAGAAGTCCAAAAGGTTATTTTGTACAGTACTGTATGTCCTTTGGAGGTCCTGAAGGCCTGAGAGAATTTCTGTTTCTGGAAGGAATTTGGTGTGGGTTGAAGTCCAAGGGATAAAGGTAGGGGTACACTTTCCCTTCTGCAACCCCTTCAACCCCCCAGAAAGCTGGACAGCAGCTTTGTGCAGAGTGGAGCTCAGACTGGCTGGCACTGGGAAAGTTCCTCTCTTTGTATAGTCCAGTTCACAGTTGTGCAGACAAGACTGTTATGTGGCAACAGGAAAGGAGGCATTCTGAGATGTGAAAAGAGCATTATGATGGGCCATGCTGGGATAAATTAAGGTAACAGCTAACCTAGCTTTGTGTGAATGCATTAAAACAATTTTTTTAAAGATTTATTTCTTTATGCACATAAGAACTAGGGTACAGGCCAGAGGTTGTGGGGGTTGGGATTAGAGAATTCCAGAGACAGAGTGGGGAGCAGCATAGGCAGATTGATGAAGTACACTGCTGAGTGGAGCAGTGGGTGGATCAGGTGCCATGTCGATCACTTCCCTGGTCAGGAATAGAACTCGTGCTGAAGTGGCTATGGATCACTTTATAGTGCTCTGCTTTAACCCGTTGCACCACCAGGGAGGGCCCTGTGAATGTGTTTTTATAAGTCAATCAGGATTGAGAGCATGTGTGTGAGAACAGATGTTTCTGCTCTTATACATTCTCTGACATACTTTGAACAGTAGGAAGCCAAAAAAGAAAAAAAAAATGATGAAGATGAATGTGATTACCTTATGGTCCATGAGGCGAGCTGTCCAT